ACTAGGTTTTTTTTTTTCCTAATTTTTTCCAAGATCTGTTGGAATTTGTCTTCAAGTTATACTCAAGTTTTTCAAAACTAGACCATGATTTTCAGCTTTTTTAGAAAAAACAGGAAAGTAGAAATTAATGAGAGGGTGGTACAGAAAAGTACTACGAAAATAGCTATTAGAGAGAATAAGTAAACTTGAGAAGCAACTAGTAGGCTGATGTTAAGAAAACTGCGCGCAGGAGTAGATACGTCAGATATTAGTAAGGAACTTTGTCTCCTAATTCATGGGAAAGCGTGGATAATCATCCGTCGGCAGTGCCTGAGAATGCAGAGGAGTTCCCGGGAGCAAAGCGACAGTAAGTTGTCAGGGGTTGGGGAGGGGGTGTTGGGCGGGTGGGATGGCCAGAAAGAAGGCGGCCAGAAAGGAAACGGCCGCTTGCAGAGGTCAAACCCAGAAACCGGATGATCTTCTAGCGAGGTTGGGCCGCCTCCAGCCTGTCCAGTGGTCCCCTCCCCGCCTGCCCACTCACCCGCCTGTCCCCCTGCCCCCTTGTCCGCCTGCACACCTGCCCCTCAGCCCTTTTGGCCCCCACCCTCTGGGCCCCAGCCCCCTGCCGCGCTGCCCGCCTGCATCCGTGGCACGAGCCTGCCCACCTCAGCCCGTGTCCCAGCACGGGTTTGTGCTACCCTGAGTACTCCCAATGACCCCGGGGGCGTGGAGAGAGAACCACAAGCTGGGACCTTCCAGACCCCTCCTCCCACCAGTCTCCCCCAGCCCACACCCACCCAGGTCTTTCCTCACGGCCTTGGCTTCTAGCACGGTGGACACCAGCTGCCTGGCTGGAGCGAGGCCAGTTGGGCGAGGCTGCCACGTGGCTGCCGGGTGACCCTCGGCGGGTCCCATGTGGCGGCCAGCTGAGGCGAGGGTGTGGGCGCTGGACTCAGCCAGGGGAGGGTGTGCAGGGGTGGCTGTGCTGAGGGCATCGAGGCTGGGAGGGGCCGTGGGAACTCCGCGGGGAGAGGACAGACGTGGGCACGCAGCCCTGGGTGGAAGGATGCCCGTCTGCCTGGACGGAGCTGGCTGAAGAGATGAGGCCACGGTCGGCACGGAAGATCTGGGATGACATGGCAGGCACCTGTGCTGGGTGAGGACGGAGTCAGGGCTCCGACCCAGGAGCAGGTGGCCAGGATATCTGAAGGGACGCGAGGAGACGGGGTCTCCTCTCTTCCAGGCCTGAGGGAGGACAGCTGCAGGGGACAGGGACCAGGCTGCAGAGAGAGTGACTGCACGGAAGGACAGGGGTGGGTGTCAGAGGCAGACCCCAGACGGGCCAGCCCAGGAGAGGCGGGGCCTGGAGCCCCGGGCCTCTGAGTGGAGCCGCAGGTCTGGGGTTCCCTCTCCTTCCCACGGGAGATGAGGCCGGGCTTAGCACCCCGCCCCCCGCTGCCCTGTGACCTCACTCTCTGGGTTCCTTCCCCGTCTGTCAGGTGGAGGCACTGATGAAGTCTCGCCGGACAGTACCTGCTACCCCCTGGGGCCCCCAGAAGGCAGGGCCATGGCCGGGGACAGCGAGGGCTGTGGAAGGTCTCCAGGAGCACCCTGGGCCTGCTGCAGGGCTTCACCTGTGCGGGGCGTGCAAGGAGTGGGGGCTTGCTTCCTGGGTGGCCTTTCCTAGGGGGCGTGTTGAAATATGCCCATGCACCATGCGACCCGCCCAGCCAACTCGGGCAGCGCGCGGGTCATCACCGCTCCTTTCAGGACTTTTCTTCTCTCCAAGAAGCAGCCCCAGGCCCGCTGGCAGACACTCCCATACCCCCGGCACCCACCCTGGGCAACCCCAAATCTGCTTCCTGTTGCAGATTTGCCGGCTCTGGAGATTTCGAGGAAGTGGAGCCTGGCACACTGGTTTTGGGGACGGGCCTCTGGCCTGTAGCACGGCGCCCTCGAGGTTCATCGCGTCACGGCGTGAGCCAGAGCATCCTTTCCGGGGCTGCGGGGCCTCGCCACATTGTGTGTCCGTGCATCGTGGACGGGCGTTTGGGCGGCGTCACCTTTTGGACCATTGTGGACAAAGCCGTAAGGAGCATTCTCGGCTTAAGTTTTGTGTGGACGTCTGTTTCCGCTTCTCTTGGAGCATTCCCGGAAGTGGAATTGCTGGCTCCTAGGATGAAATGACCCGAATGCAGGCCAGGATGCAGGTGCTGAAACCCCCACCCCCACGGCAGTGGCGTTGGCCTGGGTGGAGCCCTGGGAGTGATGCACCTGGCCTGGGTGGAGCCCTGGGAGTGATGCACCTGGCCTGGGTGGAGCCTTGGGAGTGATGCAGTGCAGTCTCAAGGGTGGAGCCTCCCAGAAGGGATTAGGCCCCCATGAGAGGGACCCCAGGGAACCCCTTCCACCAGGCAAGGACCCAGCAAGAAGGCGACGTCCATGCCCAGGAAGGGGCCCCAGACACCAGAACTACCAGCACCAGGACCTAGAGAAGAGGGGTCCAACCTTTTGGCGTCCAGGGACCACGTCGAGTAAAGAGGACTGTCTGGGTCACACGTAAATTATATAATATAGTATATGTACATTATAAGACTTGCCTTGTTTTTTAATGTTTTTATTATAAAGTTTAGAAAAATGAGAACAATATAAAACTAGTGGGACACTTGACCTTGTTCTTTGTAAAGCTAATCTATCAATGCCTGGTTCGGCAGACGTGGTCGCAATTCTCAGTGAGTTCTCAAGGTGCTCATCAGAAATGTTTGTACGAACTTTGCTCTTTGTGATTCCTCACCGAAAACTGCTGCTCACAGATGTATGTCTGCCAAAAGGCGAGGTCATGAATAAGGTGAGGCAGTGAATTTCAAAAATGGAGTTACGTCTGGGAGGACGGAGACAATAAACGCTAAAAAACCACGCAATGGTGAAAGAAGGCGTGGGGCCGCATGGCCAGCTGTCCTGGGCCGCATGCGGGTCGCAGGCCACGGTCGGACATGCCTGGTCTAGCATGCCCAGCCTCTGGAGCTGTGAGCAGTGGGGCTCGGTTGCTTATAAGCCACCCGGGCGTTTTGTGACAGCAGCACGAGTGGATTGAGATGCACTCACTTGAAACTCTGGAGAAACCGTCGGCTTTCACAACACAGCGCAGCTGCCTTGTCTTCCCGCATGCATTGCCTGAGGGTCCCGGACCAGGCAGTCCCTCCCCTGTCCTAGGCTCTTCATCTAGGGCGGGCACGGCCGTGCAGCGTGGGTGTCACTTCATCAGCACGGCTCAGGAGAAGAGTGGCCCACCAGGAGCCGTGGAAGCCGCTGGGAACGGAGTCAGCCTCCGGGGAGGGCGCCCGCAGATGGCTTCCAGGCGGGGCCCAGACGGGCCCGGCTGGCAGCAGTGAGCAGAGCTTATCGGAGGAGAGAGACAGGTCTGTGGGCAGGGGCCTGTGTGGGGACGGCAGGGCACGCAGGCCAGGCCGCGCACGTGGCTGCTAGCGGCGGGGTGCGGTCGAACGCCAGCTGTGGCTCGTATGTGCAGGAACCCCGCAGAGTGAGTGGGTGTGCATCTGATGAGATGCCTGGGTCACAGTGTCGGCGGGATGGAGGGGGCGGGCAGGGGAGGAGCCAGAGAAAGGGACAGGTTCTAAAGGTGCGAGGCCACGGCGGCCACAGCACCAGGGCTGGGCTGCAGCTGTCTGAAGCCCTGTGGCCCACACGGCCCCTCAGGGCTGGCCTCGCAGCGAGATCCTGTGGTCGTGGCCTAAGGACTACGTGGGGGGTGTCAGAGCGCAGAAGGGCTGCCAGGGGACAAAGGACACATGCTGAGATGGCCGTCCTCCCTACTCAGGGCACACGGGGCGAACGCCAGGCTGCAGGGCTCTCAGGCCACCCCTCG